TAGAAAAAGAGATAATTGAATTAAAAGCTATCTCAAAAAGATATGAAGAAAAAATAAAAATTATTGAAAAAGAAAATGAAGGTTTGAAAAAAGAAAATGAAGAGATTATTCAAAGCCAACAAAGAAAAGAAATTATTAAAGAAAAAGAAGAGTTAGTAGAAAATAAACAACAAGAAATAAAAAAAGAAGAAGAAGAGGAATTAATAGTTAAAGAAACAACATTAGAAGAAAGTATGTTACAACCAATTCAAACAACACCATTTGAACTTAAATTTGGTAAAAATAGTAATGAAGAATCAAGAAGATTAAGAGTTGAATTAGATCAATTAGAAATGGAAAAAAACGAATATAAAAATATGACTAATTCATTACAAATAGAAGTAAACAAATTAACGAATGAAGTAAAAAAATGGAAAGATATTGCTATTTTAAAAGATGTTCAACAAACTCAATCAGTTCAACAATCTGATGGAGGTTGGTTTAGTTCATGGTGGAAAACTGATAAAGATGAAGTAAATATGATAAAAAAAGTAGTTGAAGAATCATTAAAAAGAAATATTGAATTACAAAATCAAATTGAAACTCTTCAGAAACAGTTAAATGAATTGAAGTCTCAAAGTATTCAAACAAAGACTGTTTTAATAGAATCTAAATGAAATTAATTTTTCTTTAATTTTTGTTTATTTAGATAAAAAATAACAAAAACTCTAACAATTTTATTAAAAAATTAATAAAAATGTTAAAATACAGTCTTTATCATTAAACAAGCTGATGAATAATTATATTCTTTATTATCTGTTATTTTATATAACGCTTCTGTATTTCTTTGAATTAACTGTTCATTAATTTTAATTTCTCTTTGAATATGTAATTGAAATATAGCATTAACTTGTGAATAAATAGAAACAAGATATTGAGTATTATTTTGAGCTTGTTGAATTGTTTTAATATAATAATTTTTAAGTAATTCATTAGTTTGGATATGGGTTATTTGATTAAATGAATGAACAATTTGTATTTCAGTTGAGTCTGTTGTAGTTTCAATTGAGTTAGTTGTTGTAATTTCAGATTTAGTTAATTCATTTTCCCAGTGTTCTATAAATGGGATTGAAGTATCTTTTAATCTCCAATAACCAGAAACATGATATTCATCTTTTCCTGATTGAAAAAAACGTGAATGATTAATAGCATCTAACATACTTTTTCTCCATCTACTTCTTCCATTAAATTGAGAAAGTTGTGAAAGAATTGACCAATGACTTTTAATAAAATCAGGAATATCACTTTTTACTGAGAAAAAAGTTTTATATGGATATAAAGACATTAATGAAAGATAAATTATTCGAACAAGTGAAATCCAAGGTATATAACTTTTTCGTAAAACAACCTTTTTCATTTTACATAATAAACAACAACAACTTGTTTCTTCTTCTTGTGGAATTTTTATTTCAATATGTGACATTTTTATTTACTAATAAAAAAATATCAGTTCTTGCTCACTATGAAGTTAATAATAAGGTTTTGGACCTATTTCTTAATTCAAACAATATTTTTAAATTATATAAAACATTAAAATTGATTTGTATTATTATTATAATTCTAAAAAATTTGAATTTTAATTAATTGGTTGTAGTTTTGATTTAAAAAATTGAAGTTGAATTGAAATTATTAAATTTTCTTTTACTCCAATTAAAGTATTAAGGTTGTTGTAATACCCATGACAGTGTTAAAACAACTCACTTCTAGATACTTGTTTTTGTACAAAACTAGATTTTTGGGGGTATTTTATTGAACAAAGTACTAAAAAAAGATGAAAGCTCTCAACAAATGTAAATTCTTTTGAAAATTTAATTATTATTTTGTTAAATTCATAAATAACACTTTAATTTATAAAAACAAAATTTTAAGTCTAAAATATATTTATGAAATAAATAAAAAAAATATATCAAATAATAGATATATCCACAATTGGATTTTCTTCATATTTGAGAAGTGATAATTTCAGTTTCTTCAATATGCTCAACTTCTACAATAGAGTTCATTTCTAACTTACCCGCATTAGTCTAAAATATTTATGAAATATGTAACATAAAAATTTAATAAGAAAAAAGTAAATTTAATCGAACATAGCAACTTCGAGTTCTACTCCTGGTTCGATCTTGAGAGAAGTCTAAAAGAAGATGAATATTTGTAATGAACTATTTAAATAAAATAAAAACAAACAATTTCTTTAACAAGTTCTGGAGTAGTTTTCAATGTTAATACTCTCTTATAAATTCTCATTTGGTAATGATCCCAAGTCTTTGAACCTTCACCACATGGTGTCTTTCTTGTGGTGATTCTTAAAGTTTTAGTTGGAATTCTAACTGGACCTTTGACTTGAACTCCTTTCTTCTTTCCGTTTTCTTTTACTTCAGTACAAAGGGCTTCAACTGCCTTAACTTTAGTTGAAGTGACTGTAATGGTAATGTTCTTTACAACTACTGGAGTGACTGGAGCTTTAATATCTTTCTTGATGTCAGCCATTACTTCGGTCCGATGATATTTTTTAAGATTTTTAGGGTTGTCCTGGTTTTTCTTTTTTTTTTTGATATTTATAAATAATATTTTTAATTAAACTTTATAGTTTTATTTATTATAAAACTTTTCTTATTATAAAATGTTTAAATTTTTGTTATTATTCAAAAGAGAGTCATTAAATTTTTGCTTTTTTCTTTTCTTCTGTCTTTATTAAAAAGAATAGCAATCTCTAAAAATGAAATGAAAAAGAGTGCAGAAAAACGACAATATTATATCCATCTTGTTGAATGTAGAAACGTTCCTACAGATGATTGTGAAGTGATGTTAAAATGGAAACGAGGAAAGAAACAAATTAACAAAGGTGTTTTGAAACAATTAAACTGTATAAATGGAATTGTTAAAGGAAATCAGTTTGGAGTAATTATGCCACAATGTACATTATTTAGAAACTCTAATGGATATGAAGAGAAATTAATCAAATTATCATTAACTAAATTCAAAGATGACAAAAAGAAAAAACAAAATGTGATTGGCTATTGTTATATTAATCTTGCTGAATATGTAGATTTTTCTACTCGACAAAATGTTACTTTTCCTATGAAATCTAAGAAAGGTAAATCATTTGAATGTGAAATTGATATTCAATGCCTAGGTGGAGTAGAAGTTTCTGAAGCTGATAAAACTGAAATATTCTCTACCTCTAAATCAACAAATCCTTTCGGGGAGGAGAGCGACGAAGAGATTAGTGATGAAGTTCCAAACCCCAAAAAAAAGTCTAAAGAATTGGACAAGAACAACAAATCTACTTCAACATTAGGAAAAAGTAGAATGCCTCAAAAACAGGTGAACAGTAATAATCCATTTGATGACACTGGCCTTCCTAAAAAGAATTTAAATAATAAAAAATCCATGGGATCTCAGTCTATGATAATCACATCCTCAAACAATCCATTTAGTGAAAATAGTAGTGATAGTTCTGAACACCAACCAACAACTATTTCTCAAACTAATCCGTTTGATGATGATGTTAGTGATGAAGCTACTAAGGTGGATCACCAAGCAACTACTACATTAGATAAAGTGAACACAAATCCATTTGATGATGATAATGATTTTGTAGATAATAATTCAAAAACATCAGTGGTAGTTACAGAAAGTTCAGTAACAGCACAAAAAACAACTAATACAAACCCATTCAGTGATAGTAGTGAAAGTGATGATAGTAAACAACAAAGAGAGGAGTCATTAAGCGTTTCAATAAAAGTCCCTACTACAAATCCATTTAGTGATGATAGTGAAGATGAAAAACAAAAAACACAAAATGTTACGGAGGTAAATCAGTCAAACCCATTTGTTGATGAGAGTGATGAAAAACTTGAAGAACAAGTAGAAGAGCATAGGAATCCTTTTGGCGATGAGAGTGAAGTTATTACCCATGTCCAATGTAAAGAAAGTCACTCTTGTAGTGAAAAAAGTGATGGGGCTGTTGAAGTAACAGAAGGAACAAACCCATTCGGAGAAGATAACAGTGATATTATTTTAGAGGAAGAACCAAATCAAATAGAAACAGATTTAAAAGTTGATTCTGAAGATGAAATAAATAGTTCTGAAGATTTAGATGGTAATATATTTGTTTCTACAAGAACAAAACAAGACTCTCCAGAAGTTAATTTAATAAAACCTAAAGAAGAATTAGTTCCAATAATTCAATATAAAAAGAATTCTGGAACTATTGATTTGAGAGAGGTGTTTGATTCAGTCAATAGTCTTAAAGGCAACCTAGATGATTTGGATAGTTTTATTATACTAATGAAGAAGTGGTGGTGTGATGGACAACCCCATATTGAATTAAATGTCCTTCCAATGATAATGGATGATTATAAACAGTGTGTTTGGTTATTAATTGGGATAAAAGATCTTGGAGGCAAAATTAGAAAGTCAGGTACTAAAATGTCTCAGCGTGATATTCAAATAAATGAAATATATGAAAGTACATTTGTTCGTGCAGTTAAGCTTATTTCTGCTAGAATTGAAGGAATTTTAGATTATTTAATAAGTGTGACAATGTTTGACTCAAAAAGATCAACATTTGAAGAAGGAGTTGCAAATGGAACAGCAGAAATTATGAATGATATATTTGAATCAGTTTCAAAGAATGACCAATCTATTTCTGACAGATTATTGAAACAAATATGTCATTTTATTTGTTATTATATTATAGAAGAAATGTTACAGAGAAATAAAATCAATGGAATGAAAGGATTCCAAATGAATTATTTTGTTTCTTGTATCCAAAGCCAAGTGTTTAAGAAATATACTCCTTTAAAAAAGTATATGAAGTGTCTTGATCCATTATTAGAATTTTGTAGATTATTAACAATGCCAATGAGTTTAGAAATAATTCAAATGAAAGATGAAGTATTTCCTTCATTACCTGTTTCACTCATTAGTAAAACTTTACATTCTTTTAGATTAGATAGTTACAATTTGAATAGGGTTCCTCAACGTGTGTTTGATTACCTATTTGAACATCCTGATGGTAAAAATATACTATCCCGCTATGATATTCTTAAGTAATTGTGTTTTTCTTTCAATCTTTTTTCCCGTTTTTATTCTTTTTTTGAAAACGGGAAGAGTTAATTATATTTTCTTGACTTGAGTAAAGAATTTAAACCATCTAAAGAAATCAAGAAATCATTAAATCATTATGCAATCAGTTAAGTGTGTCATTGTTGGTGATGGTGCAGTTGGAAAAACTTGTCTTCTTGTTTCATATACTACAAATGCTTTTCCAACAGAATATGTACCAACTGTGTTTGATAATTATTCTGCAACTGTTATGGTTGATTCTAGACCAATTAACCTTGGTCTTTGGGATACTGCTGGACAAGAAGATTATGACAGAATTCGTCCATTGTCATATCCACAAACAGATGTCTTTTTATTATGTTTTTCTGTTGTTTCACCTTCTTCATTTGAAAATATTTCATCTAAATGGAAACCAGAGATTTCTCATCATTGTCCAAAAGCTCCATATTTGTTAGTTGGCACCAAAATTGATATCAGAGATGAACAAAAACAAATAAAAAAGTTATATGACAATAAAATTGAACCTATAACACCTGAACAAGGTGAAGCAAAGTGCAAAGATATTGGAGCTATTAAATATATTGAGTGTTCAGCATTAACTCAAAAGAACTTAAGATATGTTTTTGATGAAGCTGTTCGTGCAGTAATAAACAACGTTAAAAAAGAGAAAACAAAAATAAAGAGTTGTCTTATTTTTTAAAGTCAATTGAATATTTTTTTCTTTAATCATATAATCATATATTTTTCTAGATTTGTTTCTTTTTTCATATTACTTTCAATATAGTTGAGCATACAATTTGCCATAATTAAATACTCTTTCTCAACAAACCCTTCAAATTGAATAATCTTATTTAAATTTTCAAGACTATTATAATGTTTTCTTTCAAGCACTATTCTTTCTTTTAAATATTCAATAAATGGAGTAAATTGGTAATATGAAACTCCCATAAACTCTCCATATCTTTGAGAAATAAGTTTATTATCCTTAAGCTTTTTCCATAAACAAAATTTCATCTTTTCTGCATAGATAATATATTCTATAAATTCTTCTAATTCACTTAAATTAAGAGAATCAATTCGTTTAATGATACAAAGAAAAATAGTAATAGTTTTATGATATAATTTACATTGTTCATAAAAAGAAGTTGTAATAATTTCTTCAAAACTTATTGTTGAAGTTGTTGTTAATGAATCAATTTTTATTAAACAATCCCAACTTTGAATTATTAATTCAAAATATAAGAGTACTTTTGGAGTATAATCATAGATGTTTGAACCAATCATTTGAAATTGGTTATGAATAATAACTAAATAATCAAGGTATTTACTAAATGAAATAAAGATTGTATCGTCTTTATGACATTTAATTGTTGAAAATCTAAATTTCTTTTTTAAAATAAGTTCTGCTATATCTTCAGTTTTTTGAGAATTTAATGACCAAAAGATAATTGTTAATAATTTTATTTGTTGCTTTTTATTAAGTTTTCTTGTTTTTAAACTAGAAATAATATTTTTGATTATTTGGTTGTTATTATCTCTTTCTATTAAACACATAAAATCTTCTTTTGATATCTTTTTATATTGAATTGAATCAATAAGAGTTTTTACCTGAGATATTTTACCCATTCACAACTTATTTCATTCTTTCTCAAAAAGTAATATTTATAATAATAGATATAACATTTACAATCACTTTTTAAATCAAAAATTGACTTTATAGTTTAGTTTTCATTTTAAAATTTTGAAATTAACAAAATTTTATGGTTCAATTACGCATTGAAACTGTTTTAATAATTTAACCAAAGGAAGAGGTATTTCTTCTTCTTTGCTTTTACAATATTTTAAAGTTTTTATACACAAATTCACTAATGGAGTCTCTATGTCTAAACTTGTTAATATATAAAAAAGTAAAATTAGAGTTAATAACAAACTTTGACTCATTAAATAAACTAGACAATTATACAACATTTGTCCATCAACTTTATTTCCTATCATAGACTCATATTCTGGCATATGGCTAATATACAATGAAGTGTATTTTGTTGTTACTTTATTTGTGATAATACATTTTCCATCAAGTGTCTCTGCTAATATTCTTACATCACTTTCAAGATCTCTGATCTGGTCATTTTCTATCCATACTCCATTTTTTGGGACTTGTGAACTTGAGTACCCTTTACTTGTGTACGGCTGCATGATATTTTTCCATAACAATGGATTTTGATAATTAATGAGATAAGTTGGGTCATGGGGCATCTTAGATGTTACTAATTGTGTTTCTGGAATAATTCCAAAATATTTACATAAACTACGATTATCATATTCATGAACTCTCCCTTGTGGTCCTTCTTTGTGATAAAAGACTGCATATGTTCCTAACAAATGCTTATTACAATTTTCATTTAAATAACTTTCAATACTATCTAATTCCTCTAGATTAAACTGATAAGGGGCACCAGCACAATCTCCAAAAACAAGGATGTCTGGACTTTCACTTTCAAGAATTTCTTTTGTAATATTTCTAACCTTCAGCTTTTTGTTATTCTTAAAACAAACATAAAAACAAACTTTTTAAATGAAATGTTTATTTGAATGTTACCAAATTCTTTCCAATGTTGAGAAATATAATCCCAAGTTCTATAACCACCTGAATGAGAGTGTATTACCATAACATTAATAATGTGTTCCATTGTTTAAAAGAGTTAACCATTTTTTTTTATACATCATTTATATGGTAGTGTCTTTTCATTTGAAAAAATCTTAGAAGATTATCTTTTATTCATTAAATCACAAATCAATTAAAAATTATTGAGTGATAAGAATTATAACAGCAACTACCATAGTAATAACACTAATTCCAACAAGTAAATATAAAATATAGATCATAATAGACCTTAAACGGTTCTCATTTTTAGGTCGTATGTTTGGTTCCACAGATGAAGACTCTTCTACTACTAAACTCTCTTCTGATTGATGGTTATTTAAACTTTGACTTTCACTTGATGCCTCATCATTACTCTCGATATTAGTTGAAGATTCATTTGTGTCTGCAGACTCATTGTATAGACGTTGAGGGACATCAGTATTATTTCTAAACTCACCGTATGGTCCATACTCTACATCAGAGAAGTCTGTATGAAGAACAACTGAAACAGGAACATCTCCTCCATCATTCCCACCAATACCACATAAAGAATCTGCTCCAAGTTTAATATAGCCTCCAAGACCCCAATTTTTACCCCAAGAATTTCTGACAACAACATACTCAATACCATCTTCAATACCATATCCAACAACTCCAACAACGTGAGTTGTGATAACTCCTTTTTCACAATTAAGACCCCTTAATATACCTCCACGATATGCAGTCCAATATTTAGGATAAACACATGAAACAAATCCACCATAGTGATGAACAATTGGTTTAATAATATTGATATCTTCTGCAGAATCAAAAATAGTATAACTGAATTTAATTGGTGTTCTTTTTCCTTTAACACAAGTTTTTCTTTTTGATGGTTCTCTGCCTGAGTAATAAGGGTAATCGTCTATTGTAGAAACATAATGTGAAAAATCTAATGGACCATCAGTATATCCTCCAGCACAATGATATCCTCCAACTTCACAGTCAAGAAATTGTTGAGGACTAAACATTGTGTATTGAGGTTTTCCATCTCTTAAATAAGTGAGATTAGCCCATTTTAATTGAAGAGCAAGAGCATTACTTACACAATAACATGAACCACAAGACTGTTGGTCAAACTCAGTTCCATTACAAAAATCAATTTCTCCAGGATTTAACTTTCCGAAAAGCATTTTTTGATTACAAGCAGAATAATTAATAGGAACAGGACCTTTTGGATAAGGAATAGTAATATTAATTTTATTATGTAATTCTTTCACATTATTTCTTTTAGGTTTTTTCATTAACATTAAATCCTCAAATTCTTGATTAGATAAATCACTCCATTGATTTAAATCAAAATAAGCATCAATATCTTTTTCTCTTTTTTGGTTTAACGTTTTAATTTCTATTAAATTTTTCATAAAAATTATTTTTCTATGAATTTCATTAATACTATTATATGTTTTTCCATATTTTATTTTCCATTCTTCCCAAAGTTTGTTCTCATTTCCTTTTAAATATTCTAATTTTGGAATTACTTTTAGTGAAAAAGAACATATAATCAATGTTGTAATAATAATCAGATAGCTCATTGACTTATACTTTTTCCTTTTTTTTTTGAGTTCATACTTTTTTAACTTTTTGCTTTTTACTAATAAACTTCTTCTTGTTTGCTTGTTTCTTACCAAAAAAAATTCAATTTAAATGAACATAAAGACCTAAAAAACCTATTTGGGTGGCTCTTCTTTTCCACAAACCTCTTCTTTTAATTCTCTTACACTTTTTCTTGAATACTTATCGAGTGCTTTTTTAAGTTCATCAATATAGATAACAAATTGTTCATTATCTTTATAAAGATTATCAATTTCAAGGTGTAATTCTTCTATAATTTTTTCTCTGTCACTCAGTGCAGTTTTATATTCAATGATTTCTGTGTCCAAATCAGTAATCTTTTGTTTGAATTCTTTTTCAACATATCTAGTAGCATCAAGTTTTAAAGCATCTCTTTCTTTAATTAATTCCTCTTTGGTTTCTGTAACTTCTCGTAGTTGTTTAGAAATAATAGTTATTTCATCTGTCTTTTCCATAATAATTCGATTTAATTCTTCAGTTTTATCTTCTGTTGGTTGTAATTTTTCAATTTTATCTTTTAATTCATCATTTTCTAATTGAAGTGTTTCAATTTTTGCGTTGTTTTGAGCAATTTTTTTCCATTTTTCAATTTCTATTTTCATGGCGTCACTAACAATTTTACTATTTCCTTTTCTTAATCCTAAAATTTGTTTTTGTAATGCCTCAACAGTTTTTTTGAACGTTTCTTCATTTTGAAGCCATCTTGCAACAATATCATCTTTCTTCTTTAATTTTTCTTCTAACTCTTTCTTTTCATCTCTAAGTATTCTTTCTTGATCCATTTTAGCAAAAACTGTATATTCTAAATGTCTTATCTGTGATTTTGCTTTCTCAAGTTTATCAGCCCCAATTATAATTCCATTTCCTCGTTTAAGTTGTTCATTTTCTAGTCTTAATCGTTCAATCTCTTCTTTCATTTCATCAGGTGTTCCTGTGTAAACAGCATTTCTTTTAATAATACATTGTATATTACGTGATGAAAAACAAAATTTAATAGTAGAAGATGTTTCTTTAATACTTGATAATGAAGGTGAAACAGTTCCAATAATAACTGTTTTACAATTACCACCTAATGAGTCCTTTAGCATAAATGTTAATCTACTATCTCTATAAGGAATAAACACATCTGACTTACCAGTACTTGCTTGAACTAATCCATGAATAACTCTTCCAAATACAACAAGAGAACGATTAATATTTGCTGCTTCTTTTAATAACTTTCCTTTTGCTCCAGTATTTGATTGACGTTCAGATCCAGCTAAATCAACAAATGTTAATTTACTTGTTGACTCAACTTTTTTTCCAATTCCATTTTCTAATTTTGATATAAATACAGTGAATATACAATGTGAACGAGATGATCTATCATTTGATAATGTTGCACTTGTGTGTCTTAATGTAAATCCTTTTTGAATAATTTCCCATGCTTCTTCCCAAGAAGTAATAACAATTTGTTCATTTGATAAATCATTTTTTCGTTTTCGTTTATCGTCATCACCTGAAACAGCTACCATACTTAATTCTGTTTTTATCTTATTTTTATCAATTAAATCAATCACCTGTTCATTATAAATTTCTTGCATTGAACATGTCATTGAATAAATAATTCCACTTCCTGTATCCATTTGAGTATTAACCTTTTCAAACAAATATTTTAATGATCGAGGTATAATTCCTTGTTCTTCTTCAACATCACAATTTCCTAGGTTATAAATACTTGAAAAATAAGTAATAAAGTTAAATTATTCTTTTTAAAAAAAATTATCAAAAATAAAACAAACCAAATGTAGTAAATGTTTTTCCTGAACCTGTTTGTCCATAAGCAAATAGAGTTGAATTGTATCCATTTAGTGCTGTTTCAACAAGAGGAATTCCTATTTGAGTGAAAACATCTTTTTGTGAAGTTTTTTGATCAGCAACATAATCAAAATTAAAACTTTCTCCTTTTAATTCTTCAGAGAAATAAACTAAAGTTTTATTATTTTCTGCCTTAATACAAACGTCATTGACTTCTCGTTCATTCTGTGGTCTAATTCTTATAGCAACTGAGACAGAACTGTTCATCATTCAATTATTTAGTAAATTAGAGTTTTTTCACTTTTTCCTTTTCAATTAAAGTTTATAATTATTTACTATTTTATTATAACAAAATATGATAAGAGAATAATTAATAAGAAAAAACTGTTAAATTATCAAAAGGTTCTTTTATAAATAATTATGTTCAAAGATACCTTTATATTGGGCAGTTCCATCCATTCTCATAAATATCATTTGACATACTCTCTCTCCTGGATACAAACGGATTACTCTCTATATATATAAATACATACACTTCTATTTTAAGTAAAAAGAGAATAAAACAAACATTTGATGAATTATATATTTCTAAAACTTGTCTATTTGAAATTCCTGGGTTCATAAATGATGCAGTGATATGAACAAAAAGTCCTAATCGAGCAAATCTTGATCTTCCTTCTAATAATCCACAAATTCCATTACTCAATGTAACTGTCTCTCTTGTAATACCAAGACAAGTGGTGTGTGGTTGCACTTCAAAATACTCTCCATCTTTAATTGTAACAACGTCTGTTTCCTCTCTATAATTAGTAGACTCTTTAATGTCCAATGGAGAATCTGTATTTTTAAATATTCTAAATTCATTGTCAAGACTTAAATCAACACTTGCTGGTCCAACAGCATTTTCATTTAATGGGGTGATAACAATCTCTTTTGTTTGAAAAGCTTTTATGATAGCATCATGACTTAATACTGACATGTTAAAAGTTTCTAAAAATTGTTAGAAATACTTTATATATAGATAAGGGTTTTCTTCTTTATTATTAACCCTAATAATTTAACAAATGTTATATATGACATTCAAAAAGTAAAGAAAAAAAAAAGAAACTAAACTTAAACCAAAAAAGATTTATTTTAGATGCTCACTTCTAAAAGAGGTGGACTTGTTTATGATAAAGAAGCTGATTTTAATGAACCTATGATGAGAAATTGTGTTGGAATTAGTCATTTTTTTGTATTTGATGTATTTGATAAAGCGTTGTGTTTCTTAGATAAAGTTGTTCAAATAGGATGTTATGGAGATGCTGCAACATCACAAGAAAAACATAAAATTTGGGTAAAAAGAATTTGTAGTAATAATGAGTATAATAAAGGAAAAGAAAAAACAAGTAAAGTAGGATGTGGTGCACATGCTTTCGTCAGAGAAGTACAATTACGAACAATAATTCATGGAACAATATTTAAAAAAGAACAAGTTATTTTCAACTTTGAAAATAATATTTGTTCAACTCATAAAGTTTCATTTCTTCCTTTGTTTGAGCCTAAAATGTTTAGTTCAAAATATCAAATTGTTATGAAAAAAAAAGTAGTTCTTGTCACTATTGGAGAAGGACATTCTGCTGCTTGTAAACAACAAATGCAAATGAATTGTTTCCAATTAAAACATAAAAAAGAAAAACAATCAAAAGACTTTAATGAAAAAGGTGAAACTTCTATTCAATCAATAAATCCTCCTTTACAATCTCCTTTTGTTATTTGTCAACAACCATTTCTTCAATCCGATTCAAAACAAGAAGAATTTCATGATAATAGTAAATGTGCATTTACTCAAGGAGTAGTTAATTATGATGGTCGATATTATTTTATGTGTAATGAAGATGAAATGGCTAGAAAATATCTGAGTCGTATTGATTCATTAACAAAAGAAGTTTTTGAGGATATTGAGAATAATCCTTATGATCAACGCCTTCAACTATTCATTCAATTAATTCAAAATACTAAAAAAGCATTTATCCAATAAAATATGAATTCAAGAATAAATAAGAAGGTTATGACGTTGTCTCTTAGTGTTAGAGTCTTGTCTCTCATTTTCTATAGTTTAATGGTTTTTGATTTTATCTTTTTTTAATAGTTTTTCTAAAAAAAGTCATAATCCTAAAAGATAAAATATTTGAAGAACCAATCTATATCTAACAATCTTCATTTTTATATTTCATGGGTGGATCTTCCTCAAAACAAACATCACCTAAACAATCAACAAAAAGTAATACCTCTGTTAAAACAGCTGATACTCGAAAAATGATTCCAGACAATTACCAAACAATGGAAGAACTTCAACAAGGATTAAGAGAAGCTGGTTTAGAAAGTTCTAATTTAATCCTTGGAATAGACTACACTAAATCAAATACATGGACTGGACAACGTTCTTTTGGTGGTCAATGTCTTCATACCATTAATCCACAAGATCCAACATTTAATCCATATCAAAAAGTGATTGACATTATTGGAAGAACATTAGATCCATTTGATGATGACCATTTAATTCCAGTTTATGGATTTGGAGACATTACAACAACAAATAAATCAATTTTTTCATTTTTACCAAATGATGCACCTTGTAATGGATTTGGTCATGTTTTACAACGATACAATGAAATTACTCCAAGTGTTCAAATGTCTGGTCCAACTAATTTTGCTCCATTAATCAACAAAACCATTGACATTGTTCGTAAAACTCAAGCATATCATATTCTAGTTATTATTGCAGATGGTCAAGTTGATAATGAAAAAGCAACTAAAGCAGCAATAGAACAAGCCTCTAACTATCCTATTTCAATAATTTGTATTGGAGTAGGAGATGGACCATTTGATAAGATGGAAACTTTTGATGATGAATTAGGTAACTCCAAATTTGATAATTTCAATTTTGTTAATTTTAATAAAGTTATTGGGCCAAGAGTAGAAAATCCTGACATTGCATTTGCTGTTGCTGCTCTTCAAGAAGTTCCTATTCAATACATGTGTTGTAAGAAATTGGGTTATTTCTAATTTAGAAAGTCTATTTTAATTTTATCTTTTTTTCTTATATCTTTTGAATTTAAATTAACTTATTCTTTTTTTATTTTTTCTTAACACAAAGTGCAGACGGCTATACAACATTTTCGATTATTTAACTCCTTGTTTTTTATAGCCACTTTTTATTTATTGTATAATAAATCAGTTATATTTTCTTATAACAATACCTATTTCATTTCACTCCCTCCAAGTAAAAGACTATCTACACAATCACTACAGATAATTTGGCCACACGGAAGTGTTATTGGATTGGTTAGAGGGGTTAAACACAATGGACAAGTCATCTAAAAAATATCTAAAAAAGATCTTTTAGAAAAAATAATAAAAATCTTTCAATTAATGATCCAACATAATTTTCCTTCTGAACAGACAATTGAATCTATTTCTTCATACCTCATTTCTCTTAATAAGACAATTAACTTACATTCAATAATATTAAATCATTATTTATCTCATACATTACATATCAATACTTCACCTCAAGCTATTAATTATCTTTCTCAACATCCTGATAATGATTTAATGCAATATTTACAATCTCTTTATTCTTTTTCTATTGAAGATTTTAATGCATTCACTTCTCATACAACTGAAATAGCTTCACAAGAAGATTCAACTAAAGAACAACTTATTCAAATGTCTCCTGAAGCTTTTGAAATTGCTGTTGATTGTTCAGTAGGACGTATTCCACCTTCACCGTTATTACCGATTATTGCTAATTTAGCAGCACAAAAACAACTCAGTGATATTAAAATACGATATGTTGAAGAACGATTACCAGTTCCTTATGCAGTAGCACTTGCAAAAAACAAAGCAGATGAATATGGAGGTATTGATGAAAAATACATTAAACAAGTTATTGAATGGACTGAAACTAGTAAAGCAGAAGTTATATACAATTCAGATGTAAATGGAAGAGATATTATCTCATTAAATAGAAGTTTATGTAATAGAACAAACTTTAGTATTTTTATAGTTACAGGAACTACTGATGTTTTTGGGTCTTTTCATGGTAAAAGTATTTCTTCACCACCAAAGAGTAGATGGGAAGCTGTACGCGATGACGATAAATTCTTTGTTTTTACATGTAAGAATTCATTTGGTATTCCTATGACTCGATATTTACCAAATGAAACAAATAATTCATTAGTAATCTTTCCTAATAGAGGTACTAACTTATTTACTATCTTTGGTTGTTATCAAATTGGTCAGTTTGAATGTTCACCAATGAAGAAGAGAGAATTTATTAAGAATTTTAAAGATGTACCACCATGTAGTACTGAATTATTTAGTGGATTAAGAAATGATAAATTTGTAGCTCAAAAGATACTTGTCTTTCAATTAGAATAAATAAAAAAAAAGAAATGTGTTGGTATTTCATTTAATTAACTAATTGTATTATTCAGGTTCCGTTTGTAAATGTGATTGAGTTACTATTTTATCATCAAGTTTTTGTGGGATATTTTGTAAAGAATTTCTATGAATTGGAACACTAGGGAGTGGTTTATTTGGAATGGCTAAATGATTAGAAGCTGGGAGTACTTGTTGAGAATTAAATTCATTGGTTTGAGAGTTTTGAGGAAGGGTGTTAGTATTATTATCAACAGTATTTAATAATGGAAAAGAAACATCTAAAGAGTCGAAGATTTGATGATAATTATCAATGAAATATTGAGTACAAGTTGTTGCAGGATTATCAGGACGAACTAAATCTAAAGCCTCTTGATGATTAAAAATATTAGGACCAAAGATTAATGAAAGATTTCTTGAATTCATTTTATTTAAATCACTCTTTTCAGTAATTTGAACTAAAAATCCAATTAATGATTTTAAAACACTAAAATGAACTCTATAAATGAATTAATATTAAAGTAATAAAATAAGAAAAGAATGTTACAAACAGTGGTAATTCTTTTAATACATTTTGTAATTTTTTAATTGTTTGATTTTTATCTATTTTATCTAATTCAATAAATACAAGAAATAAATCAGTATTTTCTTCTGTAACTAAACTATCAGGTAATTCTCTAAAATATAATTTAAATAATGAAGCTATAGTATGAATATTTTCTCCTTCTAAATTTACTTCTTTTCCTTCGTTGTACTCTTTCTTTAAATTATTAACTACTAACATATTTCCTGGTATTCTAAATAATCCTTCTGTTTCTAATAACGTCGGATTTTCTTTAAAATATTTTAATGAGTCATATACCGGTAATGGAAGTCCTTCTTTTAATGGAACATCTTCTAATAAGGCACCAAACACTTGATTATTCATATTCTTTTTCTTAGTTCTTATATTTTTGTTGTTTTATTTTTTGTTTTTTCTTTTTGAGACATCAAAAAGAAATTATTTTTGTTTTATTTTATTTGAAATTTCATTAGAATGGTCATAGAAATTCCTTCTGTCATTTATCATTTAAAAACTCATTACTATACTCACAACATTTCTGATAATTTAAATTTAATATTGGCTCTGTCTGAACAAAACCTATTGACCCTTACATTTGTTAATTATTTCTTTTATTTAACCACTTGAAAACAAACAACTTCTATGAAACAAAAGTCTTGTTTGATAAACTACGTCTCCCTTGTAAGTCCTTTAAAACGTTGTAACATTATTACTTTTATGAACAGTAAAACTTCTTTTCTTTAGAATAATAATTCATTCAAATATAAAAAGAATAAAAGTTGAAATAGAGTTTTATATATTTTAATTAAAGAATTAGAGTTATAAGATTATTTATTAATACAAAGAATAACAAGAGTGAAAACAACGATAATAAAGTTAACACCACAAAGTAAATTGAAGAGTGTTCATATAGTTAAAAAGAATCAATGAAAATATAAAAAAGAAGATAAGTAAAATATCAATTAATTAGTCATCAAATAAATTATGTGCCAAATCATCTTTCTTCATCGAGATAATATTTCTTAATGGATTAAATTTATCAGGTTCAAATTGACAAGTTTTACTTACATCTTTAATGAAAGACTCTAAAGAAAAGATAAGTTTTTTGATATTTTCTTTAGTGAGAGTTTTCTTTGCTAGTCTATATTTTTCGTTTTGATTTTCTTCTTTTTCACCACCAATATCGCAATTAGCAAACGAAAACAGTTCTCCTTCATCCTCTTTTTGTTTAGAATGTTCTGATTCAAATATTCTGTTATTTAAAACTTTTATTAGAAAAGTTTGGATTTGTGACCAAGCAAGTTCTAAACAACTGTTAACAAAACCTTTATTTTCGTCAACTTTTGTTAGTTCAACTGATTCTGCTTTTTCCACTCTTTCCTTTAATTCTTGTTCTGCTTTAGATTGAATAGCTTTTAACTTTCTTCCCCATCCTGATCTTTTTATTGCAGCATTTGATTCTTTTAATTTAGATACAGCTGATGTAGCAAATGAAATATTAATTTCATCAAGAGAAATACTTTTACTATATTCTGGCATTTTAGTTCTTTTGAACTCTTCCATTTTTGAACAAAGTGCAACATGAACACAAATTAATCTAAAAACAACTTTTAAACACATATCAAATCTATCTACTGATGATAAATGTTGAGTTTTTCCTTTAATCTTTTGAAATGTTGATGAATCAATAAAAGAAACTTCTTCAGGTACTTTTTTATCAAGAGATAATCTATGAAGACCAAATACAAAAGATAATTTATTAACAGTTCCTTCTAAAACAGCAAACGCAATTTGTTCTGAAATTTTATCACCTAAAACACATGAAGCATTAGCTAATGAATACATTTGTTCATTATAATCATAATCTGGTTTTAATGCTAAATTTTCTTGTGTACACATTTCAGTATCAATTTCATAATTTGTATATCTATGAGGATATTGATTTACTTGTTGATGTTTTGCATATTCAATTTCTGCTGCTGTCATTGAAGTACTTGTTATTCCCATTGCATATTTCATACATAAATTTTCTAAATTATTTTTCATAATATATGCAAATTGTTCACGAAACCTTTCCATATCATCTAATGTTTTTTTTAAATCAACAACTTTTTGAATAGCTGGTGATTTACTAGCATTACATGCTCTATTAATAAGAAGAATAGCATGAAGATAATAATTTTGAGAAATATATTCTTTAATTTCTTGTGGTACTTGTAATAACCATTTAATAGTTTTAATATATTCTAATACATATCCTTGTTCTAATCTATCTTTATATACTTCTGCAATTTCTTCTGACCTTTTAGCTGTTTCTTCATTTTCTGTTGTTATTATTTTATTACGACTTTCAACTAATCCTTTCTTCATTTCTTTGATATTTTCATTTATTTGATCCATTCGTGTTTTAATTTGTGAATAATTGTGTATTGTTTTATTAAATCCTGAAAAATATTTATGTACTACAATTCCCATAGCTTTTTCTGCTGCTACTAATCGAACATTTAAATCTCCTGTATCTGCCATTGGATCTCTTAAAATGGGAATAATTTTATCTAATGAAACAAATTCCTCAGATCGATACTCTTGAGATACCATTTGAGTACAATCACGAATTTCTTTACTTTCAACTTCAGTCAGAAATCCATCCATTGTTTGATCCTTTTTGGTTTCGTTCATTCGTTTTTAAAAATGTTTTTCAGTATTTTTTCTTCCTTTTTTTTTTTGAGTTCGTTAGTTTTATTTTTATGTCTTTTCTTTTTGTTATATTTTTCATTTTATCAAAATTATGAAACAATCTCTAATAAACTTAAAATAAAAAAAAAACTATACAAAAAATAATTTTATTTTATTATGCAAGAAGTTGAAGAAATATTATTTGGATCATTGCATAATTGTGGTGTTGTGATTCCAAAAGGAATTAATACACTAAAAGGAATAATTAGTGGTGGTGGAGTATTTTATAATTTAACAACACAAATACTTAAATTAATTGACCAACAAAAATATGGAATATTCACTGATTCAATTCCTAAACAAACTTCAGAAAAAGTACGTGTTTGTGCAAAGCAAGCATCGATTATTAAAGAGATGGGATTTAGTGAGTCTATTGGTTATCATCAAATATTATATCCAAAAACAACAGACGTTACAAATATTTTAAATTTTTTAATGAAATATATTCCTGACGATCTATCTACAAACAAGTCAATCAGAAACTCTATTAGCAAAACTTTGTATGATATTGTTCATAACACAAATGGTGAAAAAAAGAGAAGAATCCTTCCCCCAACACCAATAAGACAAAAAGATATTAATCAAAGAAAAAGAGTTAGTTCAATCCTCCAAAAAATCTCACAAAAGAAAGTAGAAGAGCAAAATGATATTATAGCAGAAATGAAAATTAATGCAAAGATTCAAGTAAGAAAAGAAATTATTAAAAAAGAAGATAGTGATGAAGAAAAAGAAGATAGTGATGATGTTATGGTTGCTGTTGAATTAAAAGAAAGTAAAAATGAAAAGAAGATTCGATTAGAGAGTGAATTAGATGACATAGTTAAAGAAAGACAAGAAGTTGAAGAAACACTACAAAAAATCAAAACAAGAATTGAAAAAGTAGAGGACTATATCAGTGAAGGCAAAAATGAATTAAAAGAAATGATAAAAGAAAAAGAAGAGTTAAAGAGAAAACAAAGGTCACTTGAGAGACAAAAAGTCATAAGAGAAAAAGTTAAAGACATTGATGCAAATGATAAAGATGAGTACATAGAAAAATTAGAAGAACTTAAACAAAGTGAAATGAGTAAGTTAGAAGGTCTTAAACAAAAATGGACTCTTTATGAAGATGAAATGAAGAAAGAAGTCCAAGAAAATGAAAAGAAAAATGACTTAATTATTGAAGAAACAAAACAAAAAGCAAAGGAAGTTAAACAAATAAGACAAAAAGGAAAAGCTATTATTCTTGAAATCCAAAGTCTAGATGAGGATATTAAAGAAAAAGAAGAAATCAATACAAAGCTTGATAAAAGAATGCAAAGACAAACGTATATTGATAGAACTATTTGTATGACTAAATTTTTAAAGAAACAAGATAAAGAACTTGAAAAAATATTCAACAACACAAATACTATAAAATCTGATTTAACTCAATTGAAAATCAAAACCTCTGAGAATTATATCAGTCTCATTAGACTAATTAGAGAAAATACAAAATATAAAGAAGAAACAAAACATTCGTTAATCACTCAAATAACTAAAATGAACGATTTGTTTAATTCATTAGTTTTATTAGAAACTCAACGAGGAGAACTTAACTCAACCACACTTCTCAATCAAGAAAAATTTGAAAAAACACAAAGTAGAGTAGAAGAATTAGGATATGCTGATGTTAAGAAAGATTTTGATGAATTACATAAATTAAATCTTGAAATGATAAATAAAATAAATGAATTCAATCAAAAACAAGAGGCCTAATTTAGAATAACTGGTATAATAACTGTTTGTTCATTTTATATAAAAGAGAAAAAGATTTGTTTTTAAGTCATACACAAACAAATAAAGATGTTAGTTATTATAAATAAGTTTAAGTTATACCTTAAATAATATCTAGTTTAAATAAAAAATTTATTTCATAAAACTCAAATTGTGCACAGATGATATAACCTGTATTGTACTTGATGCCAATTCTAGAGTTTTCACTGACAAAAAGATGTAAAGAATTCATTAATTAAAAACTTGTTTCAATTAATATGATTTTAATTGTTCACAGTTTGAGACAATAACCTTGCACTGAGTTAATTCAGAAAGATTAATTTGTGATAAAGAGGCATTATCATCAAGAGATAAAGTTTTTAATTGTTTTGGTAATTGTAGTTGTTTAATTTTTGAACAATTAATAAACTGTGCATCAACTAAACTAGTAAATGATCTTAAGTCTTGAATAGCCTCAATAGATTCGACATCAACAATATTTAAATGGACAATACTTGTTGATAACTTAAGAACACGTAATTCTGGTAACATTTCAATTCCAAATTGTTTACAATCTTTCATTTGTGAAACATCTATTTCTTCTAAAAGATCACAATCTTTATAACTAACTTGTTTAACAGAAGTAGGAAGAATAACTTGTTTAATATGTTCACATCTATCAATACTGAAATTTTCAATCAAAGTAGAAGTTAAGTCTAAATGAATTAATTTTTGAGATTGCATTAAAGTAAATTCTTTAAGACTTAATGGTAATTGCATAGTTGTTCCAGCAAATTGACCTAATTCCAAATTAGTTAAATTGGTTAATGAAACTAAATTGAGAGAAGTAACTTGAGTACAATATGATATTTTTAAGATTTGTAAATTCTTTGGGAAAATTAGATTTTTTAATGATTCACAATCTGCAAGAATAAGTTGAGTACAATTGTTCAACGTTCCTATTTGTTGCATGTCTGTTAAGAATGGTGCTCTATTAAATCTTAAATCTTTAAGTGATTGTGGGAATACAACATTCTCAAAATTTGTTTCTATTGGCTCAAATGAAACAAATTCAAGTTTGTTAAGACCTTTTATTCCAAGTTGTCCATTTACACTAACATCTTTACCTATATGAGCAAAGTTTTGTCTCCAATACAATACTTTAATTGTATTTGGAAGATTAATGATTCTCTTTTTTGACTTAAATTCTAAATCGTCTCCAACTTTTAATTCTGTTAAATGAGTAAATTGTGTTAAATCATAATGTTCTTCAGTTTTTTGTTGAATTGTTTTCTCAGTAACTTCTAATGATCTAATAGTTTTTAATTGTTGTGTTTGATAAAATTGTCGAGGAATTCTTCCTGTAATTTTTAATTTATCAATTTCAACATCAGGAACTTCTGAAGCAGGAACAGCCCTTTCAAGACAAAGATATTGAATAGCACATTTATCAATAAGTTGAGCAACACTTGCAGCAACATACTTATTAGCAGGAGTAACAAGATATTTTTGGAAAATTGAAGGATGAAGATAAAGTTCCTCAGTAACAATCTTCTCACAAATTTGTTCAGAAAAAGGATTAAGAATATCATATTTAAGAACAATAACTACATTATCATTTACTTTATTAATCTTTTCTATATCATAAAGATAATTACTTTTTTGAACAACAACTATTTTAACTTCAGCTTTTGGGTTATTATCTTTTAAAAGAGCAAGAATACTTGGTAAATATTTATCATCTAACATTACATTGTCTAACGTAATTTGTTCTAATGATTTAGAAAAGAATGGAATAAGATTATTTAAAGGATATTTAAGTTCTTGATTAAATGAAAGTAATGAATAATCAACAGATAATTTCTTTATACTTAATCCATTAAAATATGATAAGTCCATTTCTTCTAAACATCGAATAGTGAGATCAATACAGTGTTTTAATAACATTCTACATGTTGGATATTTCTTAATTAAAGAGAAATCTTCTTCTTCTGATACCTCAAGAATAGTTGCAATAGACATTCTATAATCGTTTATGTACTTAACTAAATTTTTAAATTGTCCATTAAATACACTTGCACCTCCAAAAATTAATGGAGATGGATCGTCAAGTCTTTGTAATTTATTTTTTGTGCAAACAATTTGATTATATTTTTTACTAATTTGAGCAAATTTACCTACTTCTTTAGTTGAGTGAATTTGATTTAAAATAGAATCAAGGAATTGTGGTCCAATTCTAGTGTGGTTAGAAACAAAGGATGACATGAAAATGCATTAAAGGGTTTATTTAAGGGTTTTCTTTCTGGTTATGAATTTTTTATTTTTTATAATTATTCACTCTTTTCAAATAATTTATTATATAAAATGAAAAAAGATTAATAATAAGAATAATTTGTTATTATTCATATCCTCCATCATCTGATTCTTCTTCTTCTGATGGTGGAATAATAACTTCTTCTTCTTGAAGGGAGTCATAAATTTCTGTGAGTGATTTGAAACAGTCTCTAAAGCGTGGGCGTTTGTTTGGGGTATTAAAACAACTCGTAATAACTTCCCAAACTTTATCCCCAACACTTCCATTTTCTTCAAGAATACTTGGTTTATCTAAACGAAGTCCTTTAATAACTGCATCAAGAGCGTCTTGAGCTTTAGCAATAGAGGAGTATGGAATAATGCCTTTTGTTAAAATTTCCCAGAAAACAACACCATAAGACCATACATCACTTTTTGTATTAAATTGAAGATATGTTGGAGAATTAGGATCACCAGCTTCTGGAGCTGTCCAACGTTTAGGAAATATTTTTGATTGAGTTGTATAATTACCATCTGCTGTTTGACGTGATAATCCTAAATCAGCAATTTTAGTGATATAACCCCCTTTATCGTCATGAACATATAATAAATTTCTTAATGCAAGATCTCTATGAACAATTTTCAATGATTCTAAATAAGCCATTCCAGATGCACAATCAATAGCCATTTTAATTTGTTTTTTAAATGTTATATTTGCACGTTCATTTTTTGGATTTTCACGACTCATTAATTTATCTAATGAACCTTCAGCTAAATCAAGAATCATGAAAATTGTATCTTTTTCTTTATACAAACCATACATCGTTATTAAATTTGGATGTTTCATTAATTGTGTAATAGTTGCTTCTTTTTCTAATTCAATTAATTTTTCTGGTTTATCTAATGCTCCATTAACTGCTTTCATTGCAACAGGAGTAGTTCCAAGCCACATTCCTTTACAAACAACTCCAAATGCTCCATTTCCTAATTTTTCACCTATTTCACAATCCGTAAGATATTCATATTTTCCATGTAATTTAGAAGAAGATAATCCATCTTCTTTAGCAATAGCTGTTGATAGTTGTATAGCATAACCTTTTTTAATCCCAGATTTAATTAATAAAGCAGTAGAACTAGAATGAAGAGTATTATAATCACTAATTTTAGCTTCAAGAAGTTTTTCTATTAAATGAGTTAAATTATATTTCTTTAAAAAGTAATATAATTCTTCATTAACAATTATTTTTTGTTGTGGAATACTTAATTTTTCTTCTTCAACAACTTTTTTAAGATCTTCCCATTTCATATTTTTATTTTCAATACTACAAACAATCATTGGTTTTGTACTTTTTTCTCCTCCAATAATGATAAAAAATGATCCTCCATTTCGAAATGAAAATGGTATTAATGTATTTCCCCATGTTTTTTGTTCCATAAAATTATTTTTAATATTTCCTTTTATCATTTTTTCACTTCCCATCCCATGGACATCATAATAATAAATATCATCCATCGGTTCTTCTCCTTTATTTCCATAAACAGAAATTGCTATGTCTTCATTTTTGAAATACCCAAAACGTAATTCATTTTTTGGACAATCAAAATTACTACATTCAAACCATCTTTGTGTGTCAATATTAAATCTACTAATTTTAACAGATTCTCCTTTAGTAGTATATCCACCAATAATATACATATTCCCACCACTTGTAATAAAACATCCATGTTTTTCTCTGTATAAATCTTCATCTTTACCTCCAAGAATAAAAGAAGAAGAACTATCAATATCGAATTTAATAAAATCTTTTGAAAATACTTCAACATCATTACTTTTCTTTGAATTTGTTCTTCCACCATAAATATATAACGCTCCTTTATATAACACAGTAGAATGAAAATATTTTCCAGGAACTTCACCAAACGCTATCTTAAGTTTGTTAATTGAATAATTTTCTGTATCAATAACATCAATTCCTTTCATGATTTCTTCATATTGTAATCCACCAACTAAATAAATTTTTTTTTTATAATAAGTTGCAGTATGATATGCTCGTTCAAATTGTATATCTAATATTACTTTTTTCCATTTTAATGATTCGAAATCAAAAATGTACAAACAATTATTATACTTCTTTTCTGAGTCTATCCATCCTCCATAAACATACATTTTACAATCTCCATAACATGTGCTATGTCCATATATTCCAATAGGTGGTGAATTAGGGTCATTTGGTGCTTCAATTACAGTTTTGATTTCAGGCATTTCAAAAAGAGTAATGTAATGATATTTTGAGTTCAGTTTATTCATCAGAATATATCATTTTTCATATTTTCCTAATTTCCTGACTTCGCTGATTATTTTGATCAAATGTACTTTCTAAAACCATTTTTTTGTTATTTTATTATTTCTTCTTTTGTTTTAGAAAATAGAGTCGTTTTTGTATGAAAGGAAGGGAATTTATCCGCTTTTCTTCAGTAAAAACAATAAAAAGTTAGAACCAATGTAAAACCATCTTAAAAAAGTGAAATTATTAGATAAAGAGAAGATGTCTGAAGTTACAATTAAAAAAATAGTTGAAATACCAAATGAAGGAAATAACGAACATCCTGACTTCAAAACCATATCACCTAAATTATGTTCTGGAAATGGATATATTTATCTTCAGGGAGGGTCATTAAGAAAAATACAAACAGACCAATTTATTGAAAATTTATGGCAATTTGATATTTCAAATTTAATTTGGAGAAAACTTGGTAATTTGGAGAATTTTAAATTAGGAAGAGAGCACCATACAATTACTTTTGATAATGAAGTCATTTATGTTATTGGAGGAACTAATAAAAATAATCCAGATGGTATTTCAGGTATTGATAAGATCAATGTAAATACATTTGAAGTAACTCACTTTGACTCTCCTTCTTTATCTAAAAGAAGTTTTCATACTTCAGTTATTAAAAGTAGTAAAATTTATATTATTGGAGGGTTAATTCCAATTGAAGGAAAAACAAAAGGAGTTCCATGTGACTCTTTTATAATGTTTGATAATAATTAATTTTATTTAATAAAAGAAATTAATAATATAGTTATGACACTAAAACTGATGATATTAAAATACAAAAATTACCATTTGGAGGTATTGCACAACACACATCATTTATTGATGATAATGGACTTATTTATATTATTGGTGGTAAAGGAGATAATAATGTTAGTAATAAGAATATTTATATTTATGATATTTATAAATCAAAATGGGAAACTATTCCTTCTCCAATTAATCTTGAATTATTAAATCTTCAATCAGTTTTTGTTGAAAGTAAAAAAATCGCAGTTCTTGTTGGTGGTAGATTAGGTGCATACAAAAGAAATTCATCAATATATATTCTTAATACTAAAACTAAATCATTATATAAAAAAGATAATGGAATAGAATTTGTTGCTCCTGATTGTGGTATTTGTTTACTTAAAGATTCTATCTTTGCTTTTGGATCATTTGATAAAAATATTTCTGTATTAAGTTTTGATGAATTCTTTTCAATTAATTCATTAGTAAATAGTTCAACTCGTGTTATTGTAAATGGAGTTTCATGCGTTTCGGTTGAAGTAGGAGAAAAACCCAAACTAGATGAAAAGGTACAAAAAACACTCGAAATCTCAAAATGTGATTATGATGAAATCTCAAAGATTCTTTTGGAAAATGGATTTAATACAGATGATACATTTTGTTTACTTGATCAACCAATTTGTGAAGAATTAAAAATTGATCCAATTGTTAGTGCTGAACTAATTTCTAAAAGGTCTGATGTATATGATGAAAATAATAAATTTGGAGAAGATGCTCTTAAAAATTTTAATTATCTTACAGAATGTGAAGTAGGTGAAAAATTAGGAAATGGAGCATTTGGAGTTGTTTGTAAAGGAATGTGGCTTGGAACTACTCCTGTTGCAATGAAGGCTATAGATGGAGCATTAGATAAACCAGAAAAATTACAAGAAATAATTAAAGAAGCATATGTTACACAATTAATGAAACACCCTAATGTAATAACGATGTATGGTTTATACAAAAATGAAGAAAGTTTATTTATGGTTATTGATTTAGCTGAAGGTTGTTTATTAGACTATGTCCAAAATAAAGGTGGTAAATATCCTGAATCTAAAAGAATGATATTCAAAGATTATGTAAGATGTGCTATGGATGTTGCTTCTGGAATGGCTTATCTTGAGTCACAAAAAATTGTTCATAGAGATCTTGCATTAAGAAATGTTCTTTATATTCATGATAAATTAGGAATTCGTGGTAAAGTAGCAGATTTAGGATTATCTCGTAAATCTGAAACTGGAGAATATGCAGCTAAATCTACTGCTAAAACAATGCCAATTAGATGGACTGCACCAGAAGCTGCTGCAAGAGGAATTTTTACAATAAAAAATGACGTTTGGGCATACGGAATTACTTTATGGGAATTATTCACAAAAGGAAAACTTCCATACTCTGCTTTAAATAAAGAAGATGTTATCCCTTCTGTTAATGCTGGTACTCGTTTAGAAAAACCTGATTATCTTAAACATCCAATTCAAACTATAAATAGAAGTGCATGTGAAGAAGAGGTATCTGAAGATGATGGATATGGAGAAACACAAGAAGAATTATCAAAATCCACAAAAATAGAAGAAAGTGATGATGAAATTGGAAATGATATTTGGGAAATGATGTATCGATGCTGGGATATTGAACCACAAAAAAGGCCAACATTTAAAGAGATATATAAAATATTGGAAAAAGTAATGGAAAAAATTCCAAACGAACAGGTAGAACAAGAAGTCAAAGAAGAAAGCGAAGAAGATAATGGCTATGAATAAAACTAATTTATTTCATTGAAATAATTTAACTTTGAGAAAAAAAAAGAATGATTTTGTTTGAAGTTAAAGGATAAATAGAACAACAATAATACTTTCAAAGATTCAAAATTGTGATTATAGGGTTTCTTTTCATTTTTCTATCTTAAAGTTAATCAACACAACATCACATGGAAGACAATAGTCAATCTCCTTCAACAAATGAACAAACACCTTGTTGTCAAGAAAGAACAGAAGAAGTAAAAGAAAAAAGAAAACAACAACCAAACCCATTATCAAAGAAATCAATGAAAAAAAGAAAAAAAATACTTAAAGAACAAAACGATGGAATTTGTCTTAATTTTATGAAAACTGGTAAATGTGAAAGAGAGAATTGTAAATATTCGCATGACCTTAAAGAATATTTGTCTAAACGAACTGATTTATTAGAAGGAATATGTCCATTGTATAAAGAGTATGGATTTTGTCCAAATGGATATACATGTGGATGGTATAAATCTCATACTAATGAACAAGGAGAGTTAATAACAAACAATGAATTAATGAAATTGCATCCATTTAAAGAACCTTTAAATACTCAAAAACCAGAGACATTACATGTTTTAAGAACAAATAAATTTGAATTTAAAATACCTGAAGAATTTCCTGTTCCAGAAAAGAAAATACTTGACTTAAAAGGAAAGTTAATTCTTCCTTCATTATGTACTTTTGGTAATTTACCATTTAGAAAAGCAGTTAAAAGATTTGGTTGTGATGTTACAATGACAGAAATGATTATGGCTGAATCATTAGTTGAAGGTAAAACAAGTGAATGGGCTTTAGTTAAAAGAGACCCATCAGAAGATATATTTGGAATTCAGTTGTGTGTTGGCAACTCATTGTTAGCAGCAAAAGCATGTCAAGTTTTAAATTCTGTTGATTGTGATTTTTATGAACTAAATTGTGCTTGTCCAATTGATTATGTATATAAAAAAGGAATGGGAGCTCAATTAATAGAACGACCAAAAAGAATTGAATCATTACTTCATGCCATGAGAAGTGTTACAGAAAGACCAGTAGCAATTAAAGTTAGAACTGGAAAGAGTAGTAATACAATCCAAGACGTTTTATTACCAAATTGTGCAAATTATGGAGCAGCGATGGTAAGTATTCATGGAAGAACTAGAGACCAACGTTATACTAAATCAGCTGATTGGGACTTTATAAAACAAGCTACAACAATTACCCAATGCCCAGTTATAGGAGTAGGAGATATTTATGGATATAAAGATTATCAAAAGGCATTAGAATGTGGTGTTGCGACTGTAGCAATTGGAAGAGGGGCATTAATAAAACCATGGATTTATACTGAGATTAAAGAAAAAAGAGATTGGGACATATCATCATCAGAACGTCTTGATATTTTAAGACAATATGCACTAGACGGACTTTCCCATTGGGGAAGTGACGCACAAGGAATTAGTAAAACAAGAGAATTTATGTGTCATCACTTAACATTTATGACAAGATATGTACCAGTTCATTGTGTAATAGAGACTAATCAAGAAATTTCAATTAAAGTAAGAAATGATAGAGTTATGTGTTATCGAGATGATATGGAAAAATTATTAACATCAGACAGATTAGAAGATTATATTAAAATTACCGAGATGTTTCTTGGACCAGCTCCAAAAGAGTTTGTGTATGTTCCTAAGCATCAATCATATGTGAAAATGTGAAATACTTTTCATTTAATTAACTTTTAATAGAATCTTTTCTAAAATCAGATATGTTCTATTTAAATTATATAAATAGTTTTTTCTAATAATTTTAAATTTAAAGAATTTATAATATAAGAACCCTAGTTTTTTTAAAAAATAGTTTCAATACAATAAAGAAAAGATTCAAAAAAGAAAATAAATAGTAAAAAATTTAAAAAAACGAGTTAGTTGTTTATGAAAAAAGAAAAAATAAAAATAAAAAACATAAAAAGAATAAAAATAGAAAAAAAAAAGAAAAGAAATTAAAGCAAAAAAGCCCCAAAAAAAGAGGAATAGTATATCAAGGTTTGAATTAGTAATTAATTAAAAAAAAAGAACTGAAAAAAATAAAAATATGGGTTGCGGACAAAGTAAAGATAACAGCATTGATAAACAAATTGTTGAAATGGCTAAAAGTAAACCAATTACTGTTATGTTACTTGGTAGTGGAGAAAGTGGTAAATCAACTATTGCAAAACAATTAAAAATTTTATTTGGAGGAGGATTCCCAGAACAAGAAAGGGCTACTCATAAATCATCTATTTGTAGTAATGTTGTTACTTGTATGAGAACATTAATTGAACAATCAGCCATTTTAAATCATCCAATGAAATATCAACCTAAAAGTAAAGAATTTACTACAGAAGACCCTGTTACTCTTCCATTTTCACCAGAACTTGTTGGTGATGTTGAAGCACTTTGGGCAGATGAAGGAATTCAAGCCACCTATGAAGAATCTGCTAAATTCCAACTTCCAGATTGTGCTAAATACTTATTTGAAAATGTTAAAAGAATTGCAATGGAAGATTATGTACCAACTGAAGAAGATTTAATTCATAACAGGACTAAAACTACTGGTATTCATGAATACGATTTTGTTGTTAAAGATATCCCATTCCATCTTATTGATGTTGGAGGACAAAGATCTGAACGTAAGAAATGGGTATCTTTCTTTAGTGATGTAGATTGTGCTATTTTTGTTACATCACTTGCTGAGTATGATATGAAATTATATGAAGATGGTAATACTTCTAGATTAACTGAGTCTATTGCTGTCTTTAAAGATATTATGACAAATGAATTTTTAAAAGGTGCTGTTAAATTAATTTTCTTAAATAAGATGGATCTTTTTGAAGAAAAATTAACTAAAGTTCCATTGAATACAATTTTCCCTGAATATACAGGAGGAGATAATGCCGTAATGGGTGCACAATATATTCAACAATTATTTACTGGAAAATTACAAACTGAAGAAATGAATATTTCTGGTGCTGATGGAACTGCAAATATTGAAGGAGCAGTTAATGAGAAAGTATATACAAATCCAACAAATGCTACTGATGGTTCAAATATCAAAAGAGTATTTATGTTAGCAGTTGATGTTATAATGAAGAATATGGCTGCTAATGGTAAAATGAGACCGACCAAGTAAATATTTTGATGTTATACAAATTTTTATTTGGTTATTTCATTTTTTTGTTTTATATAAAAATTAATAATAAAAAATAAAGTTTAAAAAACCAAAATAATTGTTTTATTGGTTTGATTGATTGTTTTCAAATGTTCGATTCAAACATGCCATTACTGCTTTACTCTTACATCCATTTTGTATTTTAAAATCAGATGGTCCAAAACTCATTACAGGTGCTGGAGGAAGTTTACATGTATTAGCATCAAAAACAAAATTAACTGGAGTTAATGGTGATGCCATTGTATTATATACATGACTAATAATTCCTTGTCTTCTTGATGCATTAGAATAAGTTGTTTCTGAGTGTTGAATAATAGAACGAATAGTTCCAGTAACAAAAGTAATTAAACCTTCAGCACTTAGAACAACATAGTCGATACCAAGAATGTCTTCATTATAAATAGCATATCTACCATCTGGAAGTGGTTCAATAACAATAAATTGTTTACCTTGAACAATTGAATCCATAGCCCATTGTTGAGTATTTTCAGAACAATTTCCCCATAAAATAATAACATCAGACAATTTCCATAATTTTTGTTGAGTTTCTAATTTCTTTATTCTAGAATTTGGACAGAAAATAATTTGTTCTGTTGGAGTACTTACCATTGGTAATGCAACAATGTCTTGTTTAAGGTCCATGATTGATTCTGGGAATAAGTTATATGATCCATCAGCTACTTTAACAATCCATCCTAAACGTTGTACAAACCATTCAAATTCTTTTGTATTATCAACAATTTGTTCATCTTTAATATTAACTAATGAAACAATATATTGTGGTCTAGTAGCAATTCTATCTAATTCTACTAATGTCTTAGAAATAAAATCTTGTGAAAATGGTACTTGTTTTAATGTTGTTGTATTTGGGAAAACATTTAAAGCACAACATAGTTTAGCTACAGTATAAGTAGAAAGAGGTGTTGGGAATGTTGTAGTATTAATATCAATTGTTGGCATATCTTGATAAGGGTCAATTGGAATTAAATCACTTTTAATTGATTTAAGTGAATTAATAAGTTGTTGAGCTTTTTCACTATAAGGTTTAACATCAGTAATTTTGGAAATACCTTCAATTCCTTTAAATTTGTAATATCCATTATTACTTACTTCAAATGTTATTTCTTTACCAGTAACATCTTGTTGTTCTGGAATATCTGGAAGTGGAACAGGTGGCATTAATTGAACACCACAAACAGTTTGACAATGTGAAGTTCTAATAATCATAAGCATTGGTAATTCTGGTTGTAAGAAAAATGCTGGAAGATCAATTAATGTAACAAGAGAACTTTCACTAGAAACAAAAATAGAGTGATACTGAAGTAATTCAGGTGCGCTTATACCAATAGATAATTCACAAATTGGAGAATGACTATAAAGAATAGTATTAACTTTATTAATTGTAATATTTTTATTAAACATTGTAATACTATCAGAGACTTCATGACTTGCTTCATTAGATAAAATATTTAAACGATCAATAACACGTGAATAATTACCAAATGATACTGTTGGAACATATCCAATAAGTCCAAAAATATATCTTAACAAAAGATTCATATCAATAACAAATGCACCTACTTTGCTAATTTGGAAATTAGCTTCTGTAATTAAATTACAATAACATTTCATTAAAGTATCAGAAAGGTTAACAAGATATTTATTATTCTTTAAATTTAATGAAGCAGAGGTTTGGTATAATTTATAAAATGCTGATCCAATTTGTGGAATTTTAATTAAAGTAGTAGAATTAGTCCATTGTGAGAATTGTCTAGTTAATAATGATAATAATAATTCAGTAAATGAAATTGATTTTATTTCAGAAAGATAAATTCTTGATACTTCAAATAAATCAATAACAAGTTGTAAATCATTTTCATCTCTTAATTGTTTAGATAATATTTCTTCTACCATATTAACCATTTGATTATAATCTTTAAAAATTTCAGTAGTTACAATTGGAAGTGGTCTTGATGCATAAAATGTCATTCTAGGAATTATTTTAGCAAGTATCTGATATAAATTTGCTCTTAATAAAGGTTGAGGATTTACTTTAGTAACAACTTCATAAATGTATCTAATATAATGTGGGTATAACATTTCAACACCAGGAAGTGGTAAGTCAAGAATTAATGGATATGATAATATAGTAACAGAAACAGGATTAGGGGTATCTAAAATACTAATTAATCCAGCATAAAGGTTAGATACATATTCTGTTTTAAAAGTAGTTCTAGGAGCAAAATTAACAAATAATTTTAATATAGTGTCACAAGCCATATTAACGGTATCATCATATTTTTCTCTATTAATTACCATTGTTTGGAATAAGAAATCACCATAAATTTTTAATACAATATTTCCATCACATACTTCAGCAGGATAATCATAAAAAGTTTCAATAAGAAGTTTATTTGCATGAGTAGCGTGTAAAGCAATTTTTTGTGATTTAGTAATACAATTACCAACAAATCTAGAGAATCTAATGAAAGCGTAATTAATATATTTAGTTGATAAGTTCATAATAAATTTCTCTAATACATGTTCATTATGCCAAGGTAACCATTGAACTTCAAATTCTACTGTATCTAAATTCTTTCCAATATTATTTAATACAGTTTCTGTTAATGATTGTTGAAGACCATACCATTGAGATATCGTTTCAACTTCATTTGACCATGTAGAATAATCTCTCCAAATAACTTCCCATAAATCCATATTCATTTCTTCTGAAAGCATCCAACTTTCATGAAGGATATAAAGTGATAATTCAACTTCAGCATGAAATTCATTAGAATTTTCTGGGAGTTTTAAATGTTCAAAATATTTTTTACAAATACCAATTAATACTCTTACAATAGTGTCATTAACTTCTGGTGAGAAAGAGTCATGATAAGTAACATAAATTTGTCTTATAAATAATAATATTTGAACAGAAAGAGAATTTCTCATATCTTCTTGTTCCATCATTGTTGTTGGTTCATTTTCAAAGAATTGTGACATTTGTTTTATAATGATAATTAAGAATCCATTAAAATCATCATCTACTGGTTTTGGTCTAAATTCTTTTTCATTAATCCAATTTTTATAAATATCTAACCCACGTTGAGTTAATATTGAATGTGATAACGGCAAAGAGAAACATGAACCAATTAATTCATAGAAAAAAAGTAAATGGGGTTTGGCTTTAACCATAGCCTGTGAGTTTTCTTTATTATCAAGTAGTTCTCTAAAAATAGTTGTTAACACTTCTGCCTTTGATTGAAGTGGTAATAGCTGAAGGATATTAGTAGATGGTGAATGTTCTAATAAATGAGTTTGAGCCAATATTTCAAGGAACATAATTCTGATATTATTTTTTAGTTTTTCTCTTCAATTTTTTTAAGTTCCTTTTTATTATTTAAAATTTTTATAAATTTTTTTATGTTATATATAACATTAAATAAATAATTAAAAAAATAATAAAATAATAAAATTGGTAAAACCTAAAATGAAAGAACTAGAAAAGGGTAAACATCTGTGTTGATGGCTGTTTCCAAGACCACTAATCCACGTGTTTTAAAATACAGAGAGGCTAACAAAGCTCGTAAAGAAGCTAAAAAAGCCAAGGCTGCCAATAAAAAACCAGCCAAGGAAATTAAGCAAAAAGAAATGGCTCCAATTACCCGTGAAATGACTATTCACATGCATGCTTATCTTCACAAAGAATCATTCAAGAAGAGAGCACCAAAAGCAATTAAAATCATTAGATTCCTTGCTATTAAAACTATGAAAACACACGTTGTTAAATTCGATATGGGATTAAATCAATTCATTTGGAGCCAAGGTATTAGATCAGTTGCTGACAGAATTAGAGTTAGAATGGCCAGACTTCCAATTGAAGGTGAAGAAGGAAAATTCTATACTCTCGTTTCATATGTTCCAGTTGCTAGTTTCAAAGGTCTCGTTACTAAAACCGTAGAAGAAGCTGAAAATTAAATTTGATTTCTGGTACTTGTTAACTATTTATTTTTATTGGTTTATTTTTTTGATTGATGGTTGTTGTAAATTTTTTATTTATTTTAAATAGTGTTATTGATTTTGTAATTAAAATGATTTTCACTTGTAATTTATTATTCTGGTTAATCATTAAATCTATTGAAAGAAAATTGTTGAACAGGTGTTAAACATTAATAATTAGTAAATAAAATGAGAAGAGATATTGAGACAAATAATAAGAGCCTGCATTTTATGGGACTACAATATTTCTATGATATCATAAATGAAATCGTTTATGAGTAACTAATTAAATCCTTAATAGAAAAGAGCCAGTATTTATTTTTATACTTTCATTAATAAACTATAATTTGGCAACTTCTTTAACCCTTTTCATATCTATGTACAATACTTTTATATTTCATAAATTGTTTTATAGTTAATCAACAATATTTATCCGATACTACAATCTATTAAGCCTCACCTTTAACTAAATTATGTATCAACATCATTTTTTTAAAGAATATTATTTATTTAATATGACGTTACCAATACTGATACAATAAGTCAATGAAAAAAAATAATAATAGGTATAATTCATTTCTTTCAAAAGGTGTAAAATGTAAATTTTTCTTTTAATCAATTAGTGTACTTTTATAATACGAACATATTTTATTCACGATCCCTGTTATCCTTTTTGTCTCAGTACTGTTGTATTCATCCTAAGCATTTTTTTTCATATCACTTATGTTTGTGTCCATTTCTTGGTTCGATATGATATTATTAATAAACAATTGATTTATCGTTAACTTGAATGCCCACACTCATTTATTTAACTCTTTAATAAGATATTTCATTATTACATTTTGTTGTGGTTAATTTATTTTTCGATTATTCTGATGTTGCTTTATATATTATAAATATCTTATATGAAAGTTTTGAGACAATTTAAGTTAATGAACATCTTCTTGTAATAAAACTTATTCATATTCTATTGTAAATAAGATTATATTTAACTTATTTTAATACTCAATAATTTTCATCAGAAATTCTCTAATTATTGTGCTTGTTTATATCTCAAATATTAATAAACAATAACTTACTTATAACTTAATATTTAAAAAAAGTTTACTGAGTTCTATGAATATGTTCATAAAGTTTAATTAATTAGAATAGACATAAATAGTTTGAAATTGGATATGAATTATTGTGTTAAATAAAAAAGATAAGAGATAAATGAGGGATGTGCTTATATTTAATTTTTTACAAACAGAATTTGATGCATAATAAAAAAAAGAATAAGGTTATAAAAGAATTCAGTATCTAATATAATTATACATATGATAAAATTAATATAATTATCATGGTCTATTCCAGTTAATTCCCTTCACTTTCTCAGTTTATTTAATCTACTTAAATACATAAAAGTACTCAAAAAGTATTAAAATAAAATAATCATATCAGTAATTAGCCTTTTCATAAAATCATACAAAAAAGAAGTTATACCTTCGAGTCAATTATTAGTCAATACAAAATGGAACAACAAATAATTGAATGGCAATTGAAAAGATTATTATTAATTATATTGTATTAGTTACTACATACCAAAAAATACTAAGCACAACACAACAAAATAATAAACAATCAAATAGACATATAAAGCCAATTAAAGGCACGTCGTTTAAAGAGTATGATACTGACGTAAGTTGAATAAATAAGAAATGGGTTATAGAGTTAGAAAAAAAATTGAAGAAAATATAATAATTAATAAGAAACAAAACAAGTAACAAATTATTAATAAATAAGTTTTTTATAATTATTTATTTTGGGAGAACTTAACAAAGAAATAACTAATTAACAAGTATTTTTAATAATTCTTTTACTATTCATAATTTCGCCGACGTGGAACAATTATTTAAAGAGAACACAAAAAGATACACTTATCCTTGCGCTAGGGCAATATTCTTTTAATGACTGCAAAGGAAGAGGAATGATTGCTAGTTTAAAACTAAATCCAAGCGCCGAGAAACAGTGACTTGCTGTTTCTCAATTTTTGAACTCGAATTTATTTGGAATTTTGAAAGAAATTCCATCCTTAACATTATTTTTTGTTATCCTTTTTATTAATTGAATATTTGTTCGAGATAATTGAAAGATTTTTAAGAAAAAAAAGGGAAAGAACGAAAAAAGAAGAAATGGAAAAGAGGAAAGAAGAGATAATAACGAGATATAAGAGAGAATATGAGACGGTGTTTATAAAGAAACCAAAAACGGTAATGACGAAGAGTGAAAGAAGAAAGGAAAAGAGAGGAGAAGAGGGAGAAAGACTTTTGATTGGAAGAGAAAGGAAAGGGAAGATAGAGGAGAGAAGAAGAAGAGGGATAGAAAGATATGTTAAGATAGAGAGTGTGAGAAAAGCGTATGAAAAGAGAGGGATAAAAGAGTTATTTGAGTGGCAAGAGGAATGTTTAAAAGAAAAAGGGGTTAGAGAAGGGGAAGAGAATTTAGTGTATAGTGCGCCAACGAGTTCAGGGAAGACATTAGTGAGTGAGATTTTAATGATAGAACGATATTGTCAAACACAAAAGAAAATGATATATATAGTACCATATGTTTCAATGGCACAAGAAAAAGAAGAATATTTTAAAGAAATATTAGAAAGTATAAAGATAAATATTAAAGGATATTTTCAAAATCGAAAGATAGATAAAGAATTTGATATTGGGATATTTACAATTGAGAAAGGGAATGGAATAATTAATAAAATGATTGAAGAAAAAAGTATAGAAGAAGTAAGTATAATAATAATTGATGAAATTCATATGGTATTTGATAAAAAGAAGAGGACAAAATAATAGAAAAGATAATAAATAAAATA